CCTGGTGAGCCTTGTTGAGGATTCTCAGAAAGCACGGACACCTCATGATGTTCCAATCGTTCGCGAGTTCGTGGACGTATTTCCAGACGAACTTCCAGGAGGACCGCCCAACCGTCAGGTGGAGTTTTCCATCGATCTTATTCCAGGGGCCGGTCCAGTATCCAAAGCCCCATATCGCATGGCGCCTAAAGAGTTACAGGAGCTTAAGACTCAGATTCAGGAGCTGTTACGACTCGGTTTCATCCGACCGAGCGTGTCACCGTGGGGAGCACCCGTTCTCTTTGTTAAGAAGAAGGACGGATCTATGCGTATGTGCATCGACTACCGGGATCTTAACCGGTTGACGATCAAGAATACGTATCCGCTTCTCAGGATCGACGACTTATTTGATCAGTTGAGGGGAGCCTGTGTGTTCTCGAAGATTGACTTACGATCAGGCTACCATCAGCTGAAGATTAAGGAGTCAGATATCGCTAAGACCGCTTTCAGGACTCGTTACGGCCATTACGAGTTTGTGGTCATGCCTTTCGGTCTCAGCAATGCGCCAGCAGTTTTCATGGACCTCATGAACCGTATCTTTCATCCATACCTCGATCAGTTCGTTATTGTCTTTATTGACGATATCCTTATCTACTCGAAGAGCCAGAAGGAGCACGAGGAGCATCTGAGGGTGGTTTTTGAAACCCTCAGACGAGAGAAGTTGTACGCTAAATTCTCCAAATGCGAGTTCTGGCTTCAGCGAGTATCCTTTCTGGGTCATGTGATCACTCAGGCAGGCATCGAGGTGGATCCTTCTAAGGTTTCAGCCGTTCAGAACTGGTCGACACCGAGGAATCTGTCCGAGGTTCGCAGTTTTCTTGGGTTAGCTGGTTATTATCGCAGGTTCATGGAGGGCTTCTCTAAGATCGCCCTCCCTCTTTCCCAGCTGACGAGGAAGTCTGTGAAGTTCGAATGGACTGACAGATGCGAGGCGAGCTTTCAGGAGCTCAAGAGGAGATTGACTACAGCACCGGTGTTGACTATTCCCGACCCTTCTCGGAGTTTCACTATCTTTAGCGATGCTTCGAGGCAGGGCTTGGGATGTGTCCTTATGCAGGACGGACAGGTCGTTGCGTATGCTTCCCGTCAGCTTAAGCCTCATGAGCAGAACTATCCTACGCACGACTTGGAGTTAGCAGCAGTCGTTCACGCCTTGAAGATCTCGCGTCATTATCTTTATGGCGGACGCTGCGAGATATTCACAGACCATAAGAGCCTGCAGTACATTTTCACGCAGAAGGAGCTTAATATGAGGCAGCGCCGTTGGCTTGAGCTTGTCAAGGATTACGATTGTTCTATCCAGTACCATCCGGGAAAGGCGAACGTCGTCGCAGATGCCCTAAGCCGAAAGGTGAAGGGTGACTTGACGTACGTCATTACACAGCAGAGTCCGTTGATTCATGAGTTTGCTCGGATGCAGCTTCAGGCGATCGATGCACTTCCCATAGCTGTCTCGGGGAGTACCAGTGCCAGTGTCAGTGCTATGCAGCTCCAGCCGACACTGAGAGAGAGAATCCGGCGAGAGCAAGCTTCTGACGAGTTTGTTTGTGTTATGGAAGCCAAGGTTCGCGCCGGAGGCGTCCAAGACTTTCAGCTAAGCGCCGATGGTGCCTTAGAGTTCAGAGGCAGGATCGTGGTCCCGAAGGTCGAGGCGTTGCGGAAGGAAATTTTATCAGAGGCACATAACGCACCTTACTTGGCCCATCCCGGGAGCACGAAGATGTATCACGACCTGAAAGGGCCGTTCTGGTGGAGAGGCATGAAGAAGGACGTCGCTGAGTTCGTCAGGAGATGTCTTACCTGTCAGCAAGTCAAG